TAACTTCCACACAATTCCATTCAGCGCAGTAGAGTCTATCAGCACCCCCACAATCGCGCCTCCACCAACCTGTCCAGAAACCTGGGCAAGCAAAGAACCCATTTGCCCTCAAAGCTTGGCGGTTGACTGTGGATGATGTGTCAACCAAAGCCCGTTTTTTCATATGATATTGTTCCTGGTGGTTTTTCTGGGGGAGGTAATAAAATTGCCCCAGTACAAGTTCTAAGTCAACATACAGATCTGGCCACCATGTTCACAATGGGGCCGTATTGGACGTGCAGTTCCATTCCTCATAGGCAACGCTGCTTCGCAGGATCCATGTCTGGAGTACTGGTTGGTGGGGGTTGATGCTCTGAGCTCCCGCTGTCACTACTATTCTCTGGAGAGCCCATAACAGTGAGCTTATCAAGAGGAATCCTTTCATGTCCGGCTCAGCTGTAGCTTTAAGGGATTAGCAGGATTTGGCCGCACCTCCCACTCCTTCACACAGGATTCCGGGTCCTGGAGAGGCAAGGCCTTCCAAACGTGGCTGTGGTGGACCCAGGGAGCGATGCCGTCAACCTGTCGGGTGGAGCCCCTTTGGGGCTGGTCTTAGCTTTGCACAGTTCTCACATCCCCCAGTGATCTGACGCGTGGCCTCGTTTTGGTATGGAAATACCAACCGCATGCTGAAAAAGACTAAGCAACTTCTTCCAGCCTAGATGGGTGGATCTGTGGCAGATGTGCACCTTTTTGGCACTGGCCCGACATCCCAGGCTGCCCAGTTCGGCCAACAGGTTTCTCGTAGCTTCCATGCACTCTTCATGAGTTGCTATAGCCAGCAGCAGGTCATCCACATACTGCAGCAGAGTCGCATGGGGGTGCCTTTTGCGGAAGGGCTCCAGGTCTTGGCTTAGTGCCTCATTGAACAAGGTGGGAGAGTTCTTAAAGCCTTGTGGCAGTCTGGTCCAGGTGAGCTGCCCTGTCTTTCCCCCTCCTGGTTCTTGCCACTCAAAGGCAAACAAGGGGTGCGGTGAATGTCCTCTATTTTTTCATTTACCCTTTGCAAATCCTGCACCGGTCTGTAATCTCCACTGCCAGTCTTTCTCACAGGAAGCAGGGGTGTATTCAATGCTGACTGGCAGGGTTTAAAGGATTTTTACTTCTAGCAGTCTGTGGATGTGAGGCGCTATTCCCTTCCTAGCCTCTTTTGGCATCGGGTACTGTTGGACCCGAATGGGCAGGGCTGTTGCTTTGAATCGGACCACAACCGGGGGCAGGTGCTTAGCGAGGCCGACTCCTCTGGTTTCGGCCCAGGCGGAAGGGAACTCCTGCAACCAGGAGCTCATGTCTCCCTGGCCCCCCTTTTCTAGAGCCGCCGGGAATAGGCGATATTCATCAGCCAGAGATAAAGACAACACATGTACTGGCTGCAGGGGCTGTCCTTTTGAGTCCATGACTTTTATCCCTTTAGGCTCAAAATGGATACGTGCCCCGATCTTGGTGAGTAAG